AAAAGCAGCAGAAATAAGATGAAAGAAATATTAATAAAAACGATTAATAATAATTTCTCATTGTTAGTTATGATAAATATTCAACATTGCCTGATCATCGTCACAATCCGTGGTCGAGATGATCAAAACCACGTTGGATCTAACGAGTGTTTTCTCTGCCCAGGGAGACGCAGGTTCGAATCCTGCGGGAGAGCGTATCTTTTTCTTTCGTAAGATTTCTCGAATATTCAAGCCTGTGGAGGAAAATAAATATACTATTTAATAAATAAACGGGTCGTCTACTCAAATGTAAGGATCCTCTAAAATAACGTTTAAGTAATACAATATATGACTCAAAAACAGTTTTCTTTCAGTTTATTACAACTTCTAGACCGTCATTTTAGGACCCTTCATAAACTGATCAGGAATGAAGAATAGACCTCGAGCAAGACTCGAGCCTGCAGCTTTTTTTAAAACTGCTGTTGCCTGTCTTAATCGAAAAGATTTTCCAAGTACATGCATTTTTGCAAAATTACATAAGCAAACCTCTCGAAAAAGATTGTTTTTTGACAGGTACTACACTAGTTAGGGGTGTGCTCGTAGCGTAACGTAACGGCGTGGAAAGTGAAAGCAGCGTACTGAGTTTGAATTCTAACCGTGTCTCATTCATTTCGCACTATTGCCACTGGAAATGTATGATCCTATCTTCCTCTAGTTCTGAGTTAAATATCAAAGTAGAATGGGTTATTTTGCCTTGGGTGGCAATGACTTTGAATTTGAAACCAGTCTGAAGAGCGATGGGTTCCATCAGGTTATCTTTCCCAAGACATTATTATTATTATTTTCATTATTATTATTATCATTATCATTATTCTTCTTTTTCTTCTTCTTCTTCTTTTGTATTGGTTTCACGCATATAATGGAAGCACGATTCGGTACTAGTGGTCCCAACTACTACTATGCCCCGGGGAGCTATACTGGCGGGAATTTATCATTTGGTAGATCCAACCTAGCCAGACAAGTCAATGGGTAGGGGGAAGACAGAGTTTTAGTCACCTCAAGGAGCAAACCACAATGACGAAAAAACAAACTGAACAGGCAGCAGCTTTCTTGTTACATAGGCAGGCAAACAACATTAGAATGATACATTGGATTGATATGCGGCGACAGGGCCAAATACAGCGGCAACTATGAATTTAAGCGCAGTACTTGATTGGCGGCAAGGTTTCATCAATTCACAGTTAAATTAGGTAGATGTAATCTTAAGTTCTATTCTAACAGTTTCTTTTCTCGCACTTCTCGTTTGTGGATCTCTCTTCCTGCTTCATGCTTTCCAACCATCGCTCAGGATATGACGATAAACTACATCCGGCAGCAAGGCCTCTAATCAGGAGATTGGAAGTCTTGAGGAGCATGGAACCACCTCTTAATTGCTGTTGTTCGCAGGTCCACCCTGACCCGGGATGGTAGCATGTTAGCGTCCCAGCTATGGGAAAATAGTAAACCTTCAAACAAAAACAAAACACTAAAGTATAGAAATATATTTTTATAGCAAAAATATGAACAATATGTTTTTATATGAAAACAAAATACCAACAGTACATATTTTATAGTAGAATTACCAGCAATACATTTTATAGCAAAGTGACCAACAATACCAATTTATTTGTAGTGGAAGCCATAAAATTGTGTTCAAAATATTTAGATTTTGGCATTAAATAACCCATAGAGATAGATATTCCGCTAAACAAAATCAACCAAACAACCAACATAAAAAGACATTCATGACATTAATCTATATAATATTCGACATCTTTCTTAAAGAAATTAAACTGTATTCCAAAATATAACTTCAATGAAACATAAAACACACATATCACCGTCTATAGTAATTAGGTCCACACAAACATACATATACACAAAAGCTGAGTATCATCCACCATGTATTCAATTGTAAAAGCAGAATAATATATATCATATTTTTATTATTTCAAAGCTCCCAAGAAAATTATATTTCGGTATTAAATGACCCATACTATGTTGATATGCCATCAAACAAACAAAACAGTCAAGTTTGATCTTCGAAAATTCAAATCTACTGTCTTATTGGTTACTCTTTTATTCTCGCTCCTTAAGTTTCTCTTTTTGTTTTATCGTTTCACACTCAGTAACCCCCTGTGTCTTAGTGGCTATATTGCCTTGCATGTGGCAAAATGATTTTAAAAAAAATAAAACCTAATAAGTGTCAAAGAGAATAATAATTCTTAAGCGAGTGTGTATTTTGTTAAGCCACTGGGTTTAGCCATTCATTCCATTGTAGATAAGCGCCTCGTCGTCGGGCATGGATTAATGAGGTTAGTGCGGTTGACCATTACTACAGAGGTTGATCCTCACTAGGTGCCTCATACAAAATTTGTCGTTAAATAATTCAATAAGGGTTGACAAGTTATAAAACCAGCCAAGATAAGTTTTTTGATAAGTTTTTTTGGTTAATGATGCCATTCTGGTTGACCTTTAATTTCCCCGATCACTATGATATTAAGCTTTACAAATGTAGGATCAATTGATATCTAAAAAGTAAGTGCCGTAAAAAGGCGCCAGGACGATCCACGATCATTCCCTTTAGTTTAGTTAAATAACGTAATGCCGTTCCAAAATTGAAATCTCCAGAGACTAGACACATTGTTTATTTATATATGTGTTCTTTCGTTGCTTTGTGAATTTGATCGTCACTGGCAGCCTCATATAAAATTTGTCATTAAATAACCCAACAAAGTTTGACATGTCATAAAATTAACCGATGTTATTTAATTGTTATAGTGGAACGCGCCTATTCGAAAGTTAATAGACTCTCCCACCTATAATAAGTAGGAGTAGTAAGTGTAACGAGTGAGTCGCTCAGGGAGTTGGTCATTTAGTCGATGCCGGACGACCGTTAGTCGGATACTAAAGTATCAGCGACCCGAACTAGATTTCTCTGCGTTATACCTATTATATCAAGTTCCTAACGTTTTGTACGTCGAACCTTTTTTAGGACCGACTTGGTACAAATACAAGCCTGCACTGTGAAACCACTCCACAACACTAACATATTGAAGAAAGCTTTCATATAATGAAAAAAACACATTACTAAATAAAAAAACACTTATAAAAATAGTTCCAATGCAAGCTTCCCCGATCACTGTGATATTAAGCTTTTCAAATGTAGGATCAATTGTTAGCGTCAGGGCGATCCACGATCAGTCCATTTAGTTTAGTTAGATAACGTAATGCCGTCCCGAATTTAGAATCTCCAGGGACTAGACACATATCGTTTATTTTATATGTGTGTTCTTTCGTTGCTTTATGAGTTAGCACGCGCGTTACGTCCTGCCGTTACCTGAGATAAATAATGGACCATTCCTTTTTTATTGCAAGACGGCAGAAAAATATATATATATCAGAGACGATGTTTAGTTTTAGTTAGAAAAAAGGATACATAAGAAAGAAAGAAAGAAAGAAAGAAAGAAAGAAAGAAAGGGAAGATAGAGAAGGCGATAACTTTCACCGGATTTCCTTCGTATACCATTTGATAAGGAGAAAGACAGCTTCTTCACCCAAAAAATGTTGTGTATTTAGTGAAACAGACTCCTGAGAAAATGCTTCCTCGATCACTAGAATATTAAGCTTTTCAAATGTAGGATCAATTGTTATCTAGCCTCCATATCCTCATAATATTAACTTCTTACTTCTTCCCCTTTCATCCATACAGCAACCTTATTCTTCGTTCGTTAACACTCTACCTTGAATGGCTCTTGAGGCTTTTATTGTGTGAACGATAGTACAAAAATTTGTTAACATGTCGTCAAGAGATTTAACAGTATAGATAGTCATCGTTTATATCGTTAACTGCATTTAAAACATTTCAGACATTTTGTGTGGGTTAATTTTAATTATCGACTTTTCCAAGTTACGAATAATCCTTCTCAGACAATGAGAAAATTCCAGTTTTTATTATTATTTGATTTCATATTCTCTCCGATTTACAGCAGCTGGTATTCTCAAGCAATCACCCATCTACGTACTGACCAGGCTCGACGTTGCTTAACTTCGGTGATAACAGTAAGCCTGAACTCAATCAAGGATGGAAAGTGGGGATTTCTCAACTCCAGCCCAGACATGGCAGCTATACTCCATTTTTGATCTGACTCTCGTAAAGATAGAGCATGGTAGCAGGAGAAGTCAGGTACTTGCTGGAGCGGCACAGGAGACCAACCATTTTCCAGCATCTTTAGCAACGGATCGTATAAACGAGTCCCACTTGAGGTCTAGAGTGAGCTTGAGTTCCAATCGACATTTCAGGTAAGCGAGCCTCGTCAGTCTGCTCGGTGATGACAGAACGTTAATAGTTTGCTTTTAGAAATATTGAATGTTACAAGCTAGTGAGCTGTAAGATCTAGATCAAAGGAGAGATCAGCTGTCAAGCTCTGGTCATGTAAATATTTAGAGGCGCACATATAAACCGTGATATCATCTGCATATGTACTTACTAATGATCTGAGACTGTTCTCAGGTAGATCGTTAATCTAAAGCCGAAAGAGGACAGGACCGAGAAGAGACATTTAGACGACGTCTACGTTTATCTCATACGTTTCTGATGACTCTTCATTAACAACAACATTCATAGACCTAGCTAATAGGAAGGACTTGACATTTGAGAAGAAGATATGCCCTAGTTAGAGAGTTGCACGATTTTTTGACATGAGAGATTGTATTCCATTACATTGTCTAAAAATAATATAGTGAAATGGTTTCCTGTTGCTTTCACGACGGTTTTGAATTCAGAGTAGTCCTTCTCTTAAAAATGCTGGCACCCAAGGTTAGAGAAATCAGTCTGACCACGGAAAAGAGATGAATTCTTGCGTTTCCGCGGAACATTAGTGCAACAGTGAACGCAATAGACCAGACCAGATAAACTTTGCTTTGAAACCAGTTTTTATTTTACTGATTAAGATTCATTCATGTATTAGCTTTGGGGATACAAAGATCCCGGTAAGATAGAAGTAGAGTAAATCTACCAAGTAAGAAGGTAAGAAAATGGATGGGAAAAGAGATGGGGGGAGGAAGAGGGCGAGAAAGAGGATGAGTGAGAGGACGAGAAAGAGGATGAGTGAGAGGACGAGAAAGAGGGTGAGTGAGAGGACGAGAAAGAAGATGAGCGTGAGGACGAAATGAGGATGAAAATGAGGATGAGAGTGAGTACGAGAATGAGGATGTAGGAGAAGACGAGAAAGAGGATAAATGCGAAAACGCGAAAGAGTATAAGTGTGAAAACGGGAAAGAGAAGGAGTGAGAGGACGAGAGATAGGATGAGTGTTAGAAAAAAGAAAGAGGATGAGTTTTAAGACGTGATGAGGATCAGTGTGAGGACGAGAAAGAGGATGGGTGCTATGATGTCAAAGAGGATGAGTGAGAGGATGAGTGTGAGGAAGAGAAAAAGGGTGGGCGTGAGGACGAGAAAATGGATGAATTAGAAAACGAGAAAGAGAATTAGTGAGAGGGTGAGAAGGAGAATGAGTGTGAGGACGAGAATGATGATGAGTATGAGGATGAGGAAGAGAATGAGTGAGAAGACGTGAATGGTGATAGTGAGAGGACGATGATGAGAATGAGTGTTAGGGTGAGAAAGAGGATGGGGGAACGAGAAGAGGATGTCTGTCACGAAAAGAACGGAGATGAGTGTGAGAGACAGAAAAAAAGATGGCTTTTAGAACGAGAGATTAGATGAATTTGAAAATTAGAAAGAGAATTAGTGAGAGGACAAGTAAGAGAATGAGTGAGGAAGGGAAAGATAATGAGGAGAGGACAAGAAAAGAATGAATTAGGGGACAAGTGAGAGGATGAGTGAGGACGAGAAAGAGTGTGAATGTGAAAAAGTAGATAGATCAGTAGGTGGACAAACGAAGGACAGATTATTGTAGTGTCTCCGGCCAAGCGTTCATCAAAGGCGATCTAATAGAGCAGCGTCTCACAATCTGCGTAATAATACCTAACTTTATAACGTAAATGGGTCCACATCGAACACTCAAGGTCAGCGGAATTACAATACAAATTATGAAAAGAACCAACATAGTTGCGTTAGCATTAGTGCAGGCACAAGAGCTTTTATATATATATATATATATATATATATATATATATATATATATATAAAGAAATAAAGCATCGTCTAGATGTGTTGACTGTAAACAATGGAGCTCATGTCGAAGTATTCTGATGTATTTATATAAAACTGTATTTATTTCTCTACGTTTTCAATAAATCGTGTAAATTATCTTCATTTTTGTGAAAATTCAAAATATCATTTATGGACGCACTGTATATTGGCTTGAATGAAATAGAAAATAAAATGAAATTTGTTTCGTCTGCTTGCTAAAGACTTGTAAACTAGAACAATCAAAGAGTAGCACAAATTTCCATTGATTTCCAACAAAGAAACTTCTTAACAAACATCTAAAATGTAAATATCACGTTTGTTGGCATCATTCTGAATAGACAAGTGGTCTAAGTGATTCGTTAAAATAATTACTCATAATAAGCAAGCAATTTGCAGATCATTGGTAGGATTAGTAAAAGCTGTGCTTTAGAAGATCTTCCTGGATAATCCACAAGATTTTTAACCAAGATAACTAGATAAAGCGATCAATGACCATAAGTGAAACAAGACGAAAGTTATATTTACGCATACATATATATGTATATATATACAAATATATGTACATATACATTTATATACATATACATATATACATACATATACATATATATACATATACACATATATATATATATATATATATATATATATATATATACATACACATTTTATGCAAGTTTCATTAAATATTACAGACAAGGTACTTTGATTAAGTCTTTTATATAATTTTCCATGTGATCCAATAATTTTTTGCTTTTCAGTAGATAAATTATATAAAAACTGTCCAAATGTTGTTGTTTTTTCGAACGCTTTCGGCTATACATTTAACCATTTTCAAGGTTGAAATATATTATCTGTTAACAAGAAATAGATTGCTGTATGCATGTATTTATATAATGTTTCATTTTCAAAACACGGTCAAGATATTGTGTCCATGTTCATAGTTCATATTCTTGAGTGTAGGTTTTTTGTTTTTATTAATAAGGTTTCCATTATTTATTTTTTATATGTAGTCGATGCTATTATATTTGTGTTATCAACAAGTATGTTACGAACAGGGTCCAATAGGTATCCATGAGATGGCAAGAGACTTTACTAGGTATTTTTTTATAAACTGAAGTTGTAAATGTATTATTACTAAAATCAATGTATAGATGTATACACATACACTATATATATATATATATATATATATATGGTGGTTGCCAACTCGTGTCCGAGCACGACCATTACTACATATCTTTCTGGAGAATATCTACTGATGGGCTGAACGAATGTGGCTCTTTTGCCCAGCAAGTGACCTACATAATCTGGTACAAACAGGGCACTTAAGAGGTACAACAGCGAGGGTTACATTATCATGCAATTTAAAATGTCTTATTAAACTGTTTCTGTACCCGCATGTCTTACCGCAAATATCACATTTCAGTTGCTGGATGTCTACGGCTTTATAGTCAATTGCCATTCTCCGTTGGTGTGGTCTCAAATGACTCTTTAGACCAGCCATCGACAAGCACTCTACCACAATCTGTCAGATCAAGCTGCCTGTGGTGTCTTCAGTAAGATCAACGGGGACGCCTTTACGCACGTCTCAATTAAGCCTTGCTTGCCTCCTCTTCTCCTCCTCAAAGTGACACCTTCCACTACGAACAGCCTCATTGTAATTATTTCAATCAGATGCATATTTTTCCCAGTACTCACAAGGAATATTGCATTTCTTCAGCGCATTCTTGATGCAGTCCTTAAAGTTCTTAGGTTTGACGGCATTTCCCTTCCTTATTCGCAGCTCACCATAAAACAATTGATTTGGAATACGGCTGTCATCCATTCTGACGAGGTGGCCCGTCCACCGAAGTTGATGTTTTAGTATCAAGGACCCAATACTATCAAAGTCGCACGTCTACACCACTAAGAAATATTTGCCAGGTAATGCCAAGAATACGGCGTAAGCAGTACTGGTGGAATCACTGAAGCCTTTTCATTTGTGTTGTGGATTCCGAGATGAAATTCGGTCTCCAATGAAGGACAAACGCAAGAATTAAATATAAGAAATTAAATGTATTTACGCAATAATACAATGGGTAATACTGTTAGTAAATCCAGGAACGCCGTTAGTAGCAATAATAATAATAATATATATATATATACAGTCTTGAAGTAGGACTTCCTTAGAGACTACGTGCTTGTAACTGACTTCTCCAAGCGGTTACCTCACACTATTACTCAACCTCCAACTCAATCACAATCTCTGCTCACTCTCCCAATATTCTGACTGACTCTGGGTATTTAACGGCAGCAGTCCAAGTAACACTCTGGTCGAGTCCACTTATATGAAAAAGGGGAGGACCCCATAACAATTTGTCTGCGGTAAACCATCCACATCTCGGAAGCATAAAGAAGTGCATATGCACGATAGCCCTTTAGCTTAGTACTCACTGAAATTCAGTCTTTTAACCACAGACGTTTGTTCAGTTTTCCAAATACGTCGCTAGCTTTTTGTATGCGGTTTGAAATTTCTACATCAATACCACAGAACATGCTCAATGTGCTCCCAAGATACACAAACAGCCTTTACAGATGCTTGGTTCACGATATGACTTCATTGGAGCTGGTTGGTACATGATTACTGTCTTTTTCAAACTAATAATCAATCCCGGTGCAGTGCATGCATTAGAAAAAGTATCCATGAAATGCCGCATACCTCCTTCCGAGTGAGCCACAAGATCGCAGTCATCAGCATGTAGTAAATCACTGACCCACGTCAAATGAACCTTCGACTTTGCATCAAACCTCCTCTTGTTAAACAACTTTTCTGTTGAATGATAGCAAATGTAAATACCAAGGTTTCAGTTCTTAAAGGCCTGTTCAAAAACGATAGGGAAGTACATGGCAAATAGAGCTGGAGTCGAAATGTCGCCCAACTTGACTCCATTTTCAATTCTCACCGGCTCAGAGAGCTTTCCACCAACATTAACCCATGCCTCCATATCATCATGAAACATGCGAAGAATGGAAACACACTTTTAGGGATATTCGAGCTTCTCTAAAATATTCCACAAAGCCTCTCTGTTTACGGTGTCAAATGTCTTTGCCAAGTCAACAAATACTTGGTAATATTTATATTCTCTTCGACACAATTTTCTTGCAGTTGTGTGGCTGTGAATATCATACTTACAGTGCCACGTCCTAAAGCCCGACTTTGACCCCAGAAGAGCTTCATTAGTGATGTGGTACAACAAGCAAAACTCTGTTTAAAGAACCTTGTCGACAACAGACAACAGTGATATGCCACGATAATTTCCACAGTCATCACTGTCCCCTTGCCCTTGTACAAAACAACCATGACAGCATCTTTTTCAGTCATCCGGAACACTTATTACTCCAGGTATCTAGCAACAAAGAATGAAGCCGATGCAAAAGACTTCTCTCCTCCGTGCTTAAAAAGCTGGGCATGCAACCCATCCATTCCAGGTGTCTTTCCACCATTAAACTGTCTGGCAGCACTTTCAAATGTTGGAGGCTCCAGGAGAAATTCTTTAACAGGCTTTTCAGGCATAGATCTGATAAACTCTTCGGCAATCTCTGAGTGCCTATTGAGAATCTCTCTCAAAATGTTCACGTCATCTCATATCATCGGGATCTCGAAGAAGTTTTTCGCCATCCTTAGTTCTTAGAGGAGCAACAGGTGAATACAAACATACATACATACATACATACACACACACATATATATATATATATATATATATATATATATATATATATATGCGAGTAGTGAGTTCGATCCTCACTGGGTGCCCCTACTTTCTGCCTTGTGCCACATCTAAGCTACGCTTGGAAAATCACTATATATGCATATATATATATATACATATATAAACACATATATATATTTATATACATATAATAATAATAATAATAATAGCTGGCCATTCGTGTTCGAGGATACCCGTCTACTATGGCAGCTAGCCAATCCCTATTGCAGACGCGCGCTCAGGCATATTTGTGTATGTACAACATCCACAGCCAAACTGTGATTTATACTGAAACTATGCTGAGCAGACCTTAGTTGCAGTTTCTAGGAGAGAGCGGGATATCTAGCATGATCAACAATCTGAACCATCAAGCCATCACGCTTAAGCCCTCAGTCACGATGACTTGTGACATCGTTCTATCACAGCTATCGACGGCACCCACAGGTACCGTCTACCTAATTTCACTCACAAAGCTTAGGTCAACTCGTGGTATGGTTTTTCAGGCATTTTTCAAAGGTGCCGCACACTGGGATCGTCCCCCTCCAGACCAATAAATCTATGTATATATTTTTCTAAATTCTTCTAGTTGCTAAAGACATTTTTTTTTGTTTATAAATACTCTGTTTCAATAAATTCATTTAATTTATATTTTACCTTGAAAAATCTACATTGGACGAAACGCGTCGGCTAAAATTAGTTTTCCTATTGTCTTTTTCCTTAATACACATTGTCTTTTTCTACAGTTTAAATCTGAGAAAGTTTTACATATTTGTCGACATGGAAAACAAAAACACAGACACACATATGATCAGAAAATACATGCAACAACTAACTTCCGCCTATTGACATAAAAAAAACAAGAACAACTTTCTTAGAAACCTGCTTTGATGAAAAAGTTATTCTTCATTGCTCACACAAGCTTGTCAAATCGTAACACCATATTTTCCCTCTTTATGCCCATAAATTTTTGAAATATTCAATACAGGAATTAGAAGAAAAAGAAACCATTCTTTACCATTCGGCATATATGACAGGAAGTTACCTACAAAAACACGAACTGAATGAAAGAAGATTAACCAACTATAATAAGAAGAATGTCTGTCTTTTGCAAAACAAATTCAATATACTCATTAACAATAGTAAATGGTCCAATGTCGGCAGAAGAGACCTAAAAATAAACTTATCCAAATTCCTACTATCGAATACACAATTATAATCCCTCGGAATACCAAAATATGACACGACAGATTACATAATTAAAAATCAATGACTTTATGATTTTATCAAACGCTACACTCAAGTAATCACAGCTACATACAAAAAAAACAACAGCACCGCATTTCCTCGAAGATACATAAAAATTCTGAAAGAATTAGCTAACAATAAAAACATCCATATATCTAGTTTTGATAAGGGTGGGGAAATTGTAACCATAGATAAACACATTTACCAACAGAAAATGAGAGAACTCATTAACGATAATAGCAATCTACGGAAAAGTAAATGAAAAAAAAACTATAAAAGAAATACAAAAATTCACAAGTGACATCAAAAAGCTACTAAAAATTAAAATATTTCTTCCTGGATAAAATTTATTGAATACCACACAAAATCACCCACATTAGACGGATGATCAAAAACACATAAACCGAACATAGCAATGAGACATATTATATCAGAGATAGGCACCGCATCTTATAAACTAGCCCGCAACATTAAGCAAAATCGTAAACCCAGTTCTCGGCACTACTGCTCAATCACACATAAAAAAAAATTCAGGTGGCCTCCTAAACAAATTAAAATATATAGTCATTAAAAACAAATATATAGCTGGTTTAGACATTCACAAACGTCCCTATAGAGAAATGCTTAAATCTACTAAAAAACACCTAACAAAAGCAAAAATTAAATTACTTTTATCTAAACATAAATTCCTAAAAATATGCCGGTTAATCACCAAGTAATGTTTCTTCACATTAGATAACCAAGTTTACAAACAAAAATTGTGGCGTTCTTGCTTGTCTATTTTTTAGAGTTTCTAGAAAGTGACCCATTCAAAAACATTCTACCTCCAAACTCTTCCTATTTCAGATACATAGAGGACTCACTATTAATATACGCAAAAATACTAATTTAATAGATCTTGTCAACCAACTTAACAACGTTGAATCTACAATAGACTTGGCCTTTGAAACTGAAACCAACTACACTCTTCCCTTCCTAGATAAGTTGTTACACAGAAACAATAACGAACTCAATAGAGTTATAGAAAAGCTACCAACAAAAGTGACCTGGTCATTTTTTTTACTCAAGCCAATCTTCTAAAATTAAATCTAGAATTATTATAGATTTCTATTTGAGAGCATTAAGAATTTGCAGCCCCCGATATTTACCTAAATAAGAAACATACATAGAAAACACATTCACAAACCTCCAATACCCATATCATTTCATCCACAACGCAAGAAAAAAGGCATACAAAATATACAACCACAACAAATATAACAACATCATACGTAATAATAAATTATATGACAATAGATACATAATACTACCGACCAACTCGGTCACGTCCACTATCCAGAAGAACCTATCCTAACTAATATAATCGCAAAATAATCACAAACACTTCCAAAATCATTATGGATATAAGCAGTTCCTCAAAAACCCATAGCCATAATATTTCTAAAGCAGGCACATATAAATAACTTGCCAAAACTGTTCCTTACAATTCATTGAAAAACATGCAGGAATTTAAAAACAAAAATGCATCTATGAGCACAAAAGAGACTTCATAAATAACAATTTAACAAATAGACTAGTCATACATGGAAAGAAATTCAACCATAATTTTGATTATATAAATGCTTCAATCATAAAAAAATAATTCACTCAGAAGGAAATGTATGCGTGTATACACACACACACACACACACACACACACACACACACACACACATATATATATATATATATATATATATATATATATATAATACTTAGTGTATTGGGACAGCAGATCATCATTCAAACATATATTGTTAAATAAAACAAACAACGAATGTATATTATGATTGATAATGAGATGTACTAAACTTCGCTTAAAGTGGCTTTATATATGCATATATTTACATACATATATATATACATATATAAACATATCTCTCTCTCTATATATATATATATATACACATATATATACATATATAACATTATATCTTTATATATATATATATATATATATATATATACATACATATTCGCACATATATATACGCATATATATGCATACATATATATATATATGCATATGTCTACATATATATATATACACACGTATATATAAGCATATATATACACATACGTATATGAAGAAAAATATACGGAAAAACAAACAAAAATCCTAATATGCAATTATGCTGTTTTAATGTTAATATAATGCCAACGTCGGACGTTTCGGTCTAGTAGACCATCTTCAGGACATATTCATAAAACATAATTAACATTAGACTATATTCAATTAAACATGAAAAGACGATGGACATAAGAGTAAGACTAATCAAAACAGATAACTGAAATTTTTCAAGATCAGCGTCCAGTCGGCGTCACGTGGGCAATGTTGTGAAAACGTATTCCTAAAATAGAGTATTTTGAATGAAAAATGAAAAGAATTTTATTTTAATTTAAAATTTATATGTACGTTTGTCGAGCATTAATATTGAAACGGAACGCTGATCATATGTGTCCTCCGACAGGAATCGAACCTGTATTCTACACGGAACCGCCATACAGTTTGACGTGGTATGTCATTTAGCTACAGATGAAGCATCTGGTTACCAAAGTTAAATTACTGTTTTTGAAGTTAAAACATCACATGATTTCTTTCGAACGCTCGTATCTGCTCGAAGCGTATCTTAACGTAAACAAATGTCATATATTATGTAAATGGATTAAAATTTAAAAAAATTTCGGACTTAGTCCATTTCATTATATATATATATATATATATATATATATATATATATATATATATATATATATATATATATGCACATATGTAGGTATATACACACCCACTTATATTGAGGATGAAAATCACACCAGATGATATCACTGTAAACTGTAATCCATACTTGATTAACAAACAACCAATGCAATTGATTTGTTTAATATGAAGATTAATTATAAGCATTTCTTTTCAGATTCATTTGTTACGGTGTATAAAGCAGCGATGAAAGGTCACCTTGCTTTATTCTTTTTTTCCTAAGGCATAAATTAAAGTACAACCCTTCAGTTTATTTGCAATACAATTTTTATAAGAATTTCCGCTCACCTACAGAAAAAAAAAGATTGATCAAAACACATCATTTTAATCAGTACACAAAAGAAAGCTCAGGTGCTTATTCAAATGAGAAAGAACAATCAACACTTTTTTTCCTCTGGGAAACGCACAAATCTATTTTCATTGCCTTATTTTGGAGAAAATATCTTCAAAGAAAAATCATGTGATATGAGATATATCTAAAAAAAAGGGGGGGATTTTATTCTAGTCGTTATAATTAGTATTCTCATCTTTCCTCATCAAAAAACAAATCTGCTCGCGCGTTCCGTTTTCATTGTAGGATTCTTTTTTACTTTGCTTTAGCTACCATTGCTAATGAGTTCTTCCACCTTTCTTGTATAATCTGATTTGACCATCACTACAGTTGCATTGCCTTTGTCAGCCGGTAGTATGATGATATTTTCGTTCCTCTGTAGGGATCCGATCGCCAGCCTTTCCAGTTTCGTGATGTTTGACCTG